TTTTTTATATCTCTTTATTGACTTCAGAGAGAGGGCAGCAGAGGGAGAGAGAGATAGAAGCATCAATGATGAGAGAGTCATTGGGGATCGAGCCCACAACCCGGGCATGTGCCCTGAACGGGAATCTAACCCCGATCTCCTGGATCCTAGGTCAATGCTCAACCGCTGAGCCACACCCAGCTGGGCGCGGCGCCTCTTTGAAGGCAGGCATTCCTTGGATCTTTTCCAGCAAGTCCAAAGAAACTCAGAGAGGTGGAGTGGCTTGCCTGAAGACACATAGCTGCCAGGGTAGAATAGTGAACCTCAGACAGACCCAGGTACATGCACTGGCTCATTCAGCCCTTACAATACCCCCATGAGATAAGTGCCATAGTAAAGATGGGGAAACTGAGGCACGGGGAGGTTAAGGAGCCTGCCCGAGAAAGGTGGAGATGGAGTCTGAATTCAGGCATCTCGTTGCAGAGTCTGGGCTCTTCACCACTACAGTAAGATTTGGAAGCAGGCCTTTTGACTCTAGGGAGAGAGAGAGACATCAATTTGCTGTTCCACTTACTTATGTCCTTGGTTGATTCTTGTATGTGCCCTGACCAGGGATTGAACCCGCAACCTGGGTGTATCGGGATGACACTCTAACCAAGCTACCCTGCCAGGGCTCCAGTGCCTAATTGTACCCCCGTGCTAAGCTGCCTCCCTCAGGATTCCAGTTTCAGGGCCTGGACTCTTTCCCTGCCCCCTCCCTGCGCTGACCGAGTCTCCATCTCCCTGCAGGCACAGGGAGCCTGGCTGCTGCGGTAGAGACCGCCTCAGGACGCCAGGCCCTGGTCGTGGGCAAGCCCAGCCCTTACATGTTCGAGTGCATCAAGGAGCACTTCAGCGTGGACCCCGCCCGCATGCTCATGGTGGGCGACCGCCTGGAGACCGACATCCTCTTTGGCCACCGCTGTGGCATGACCACCGTGCTCACGCTCACGGGCGTGTCTCGCCTGGAGGAGGCCCAGGCCTACCTGGCAGCCAGCCAGCAGGACCTGGTGCCCCATTACTACGTGGAGAGCATCGCAGACTTAATGGGAGGGCTGGAGGACTGAGCCCACCTGATCTGCAACCACAGCCCCACCCCTTCCCCACCCTGATCCCGTAGATGGAGGTGATGGGCCGGGAGCTGCATTAAGTGCCACTGGCTCTCTGGCCCTAGTTTCTACACCCTGGTGGGGCTGGGACCCAGGGAAGCTTTTAGGGCCCTAATACCCCCTCCCAGGGGTGGCTAAGCACTCTTTGCTGACCCCCTTGCCCCACTGGTTTGCCCTGGCATGACCCAGCCAAGGTGGCCTTATTTCCTGCCCTGGGACCTCCCTTGTTGAAAACTGGGCCCTGGTACCCACTGAAGATTTCCCTCAACCCTGAGCACTTAATTCCTACACCCCTCCCTGGGGCCTCTAGAGCTCTACCTGCTCCCTAGGTCCTGGCCTTGGGTTCCTGTTGACCAATGAGAGGTCTTTGTAACCACAAACCATGTTGTCCTGAGCCCTGAATGGACCAGTCAGAAGGCTAAGTCATAGTGATTCATTGATTTTGGGTCCTGAGTGGACCAGTTGGGAGCCTAAGTAGCAATGACCTGGATGTCTGACTGGATCAATCATAAGGCTGTGACAATGACCCTTTCTTGTCCTAGTTCCTGGGTAGGTCAATCAGGACAGCTAATAATGACCCTGAATAGAACAGAAGTCTGAGAGACGGTGGCCTCTTGACAATCTGGGTCTGACTGGATGAGCCAGGGTTCCAGATTTCTGTCAATAAATAAGGTCCACGTACTAAAGACCCCCGTCCACCAACACTGCTATCCAGGGGGCCACTCAGTGGCTCTGAGGGCCTCTGTAGCCGAGAGCCCCACCCTCTCCTGATCATGGTACCAGTCCAGTGTTGATGGTGGCCATAGCTCGAGTGGGGGCGTTTGTGTCCATCCCTGTGCCGTCATTGTTTGCTGTGCCACTTCTCCCCCGTGCCCGCCCCAGCTATTTATTTATTTATTATCGTGTGCCAGTGATGGTGGGGTGGGGGCTGGGCCTCCCCTGCCACCTCCACCCCTGTTGTAACTAGTCCTCCCGTCCTTAATAAAGGGGAGTGGGAGCACCTGCGTGGGTTCAAGTCTGTGCGAGGCGGGTGGGAGGCAGAGGCCCTGGCTGAGCCTGGTCTCCAGAACTGGCCCATCATGACCCTCGCTGTGCGAAGTGAGCCACCCCAGTTCCAGGGTGCTCTGCATTGCTACCTAACTCAGTAGCACGTTGCCCCTGGCTGAGTCTTTATGTAGCCATTTGTTTCAGAAAACCCAGCAAGCTTGTATCACTCATCCCATTTTACAAAGGTACTTGGGGAATGCAGATTGGAAATGTGATGCTAACTTTCACAAGGGCTCACCTGAGATCACCTGAGGCAGGACTGGAATTATGTTGGCTGACTCCAGAGACTGAGGGGGAGACAGGTCCCCACCCTCTGGGAGCTCAGGTGAGATACTGCGGCACACACACCACTTCGGGCGTTCTTCACACCTGGGGTGCTGCTGTGACTGCCCTGCCAGCCCTGAGCTCCAGGCCTCCCCAGCGCCTCCTGCAGAGTGGGTGCTCATCTGTGAGCTGGCCACAGGGCAGCCCAGAGCGACCTACAGATGCCAAGTGGGGAGATGCCACGACTGTTCCAGCCCTGGCTCGCACCCATTTACTTGTCACTTGAGCTTGCCCAAGCCCCTTTCTGCTCAGCCTGCTTCCTTATTTGTGGAGTGAGAGGTAGGTCTTGGAAGTGTGGGGAATTCTGTCCATGTGATGATTCTTGGGAAGTGGGAGTGCTGGACTGGGCCGGGCTGCGTCGTGATGCCAGCAGATTGCACTGTGGAGACTGGGCTGTGACAGAAACTCGGCTCACCCTGGCTAAGGCATGAGGGAGCTATGGCTGTCCCATGAGGAGGTCCAGCACTCCAGGTGTGGGCCTCACTCGGCTGTGGTGCATCCCAGACTGGGTACCTCTCACCCAACCAACGTACCAGGGCAGACTCATTGGGCTGGCTTGGGTCCTGTGCCCAAGGGGATGGAGCACAGCTATTGACCAGCCTGAGTCCTGTGCCCCCCAGAGGAGGGCAATACCTGCCTCCCTGGCCTCACTCTGGACCTAGCAGCCACTCCCTACCTTCCTTGCTGACAGAATCCTGATTTCCCTCAGGGGCACTTGGTGGCATATGAATCAGATGGGCTGGGCATCCCAGTCTTGGGTAGTTAATCGTTTGTGTTTTTTTTTTAAATATATTGATTTCAGAGAGAGGAAGGGAGGGAGTTGAAACATCAGTGATGAGAGACTCACTGAAATCTGAGCTTGGTCTAGCGTCTAGTTTCCACCCACCACTCTTGATTTCACCAATAACCATAACCAAGGGACTATATATTTTGCTTTCTTTGCATTTCCTCAAGACATCCAGTAAGCCAGCTCTCTGAGAGTTAGAGACATCTCCAGACGCCGTTGATAACTCACAGTTACTGGAGCGGAGCTGCTGCTCCACGCCATGGGTGACTGGTGACGTGGCGCCCAGGAACCAAAGGTTCCTCGTGCCTGCCTTTCTCCCTTTCTCTTCCCAGACCACATGTTTCCATGAGCCAGGGCCGTTCTAGCAAATCCCACTTCTCTGACGCCAACTGGAAGGGAAAACTTTCCTCTGCCCACAGAATACTTCTGGCACCAAACGTGTGGGTTTTCTACATCAAGCAATTCTCTGGTTTTCTGGTGTCCTACCATTTAATTCAATTCTGACGCTACCCTGAGGGAGTGCAGAACGACAGATTAAGGGTTCAGTCCTACAAGACTTTCCCCCCACTTCTGATGCCAGTCACACGTCCCAGGTACTTCTGACCAACTAGCTGTAAATCAGAGGTTCCCATAACCCCCTCCTCGGGTTGGATAGTTTGCTATAATGGTTCACAGAACTTAGGGAAACACTTAGGTTTGCCAATTTATTATATGAAAGGATCCAGATGAACAGCCAGCTGAAAAGATACACAGGGGGGAGGCCCAGGGGCATCCCAAATGCAAACCTGCCACCCTCCGAGCAGGTAGGTGTGTTCACCAACCCAGAAGCTCTCCAAACCCTGTACTTTGGGGATTTTTATGGAGCCGTCATCACGTAGTCATGACTGATTGTTAACTCAATCTCCAGCCTGTTAACTCAATCTCCAGCCCCTCTCCTCTCGTGGGAGGATGGGGGGTGGGGCTGAAAGTCCCAAACTCCTAATTATGGCTCTGTCTTTCTGGTGACCAGCCGCATCCTGAAGCCATCCAGGAGCCCACCAAGAGTCACCTCATTAGAACAAAAGAGATTCCAGCCCTGGCCAGTGTGGCTTGGTTGGAGCATTGACCCATGCACCATGGGAAGGTTATGGGTTCGATTCCCTATCAAGGCACATACCTAGATTGTGGGTTTGATCCCCAGGAGGCGACCGATCCATGTATCTCTCACATCGATGTTTCTCTCCCTCCCTCTCTTTCTAAAATCAATTATATATATATATATATATTCCTATTACCCAGGAAATGCCAAAGGGATTTAGGGGCTCTGTGTTGGGACCTGGGGTCCCGGGATCATAGACCAAATATTAGAACAAAAGATGCTTTTAGCATCTCTGTTTCTTAGGAAATTACAAGGGTTTTAGGAACTCTGTTACTAACTGGGGTCAGAGACCAAATATACATTTCTTATCTTACACTCTCCAACTTTCAATTTGGAAAAGTTTCAGACCAACAGGAGAGGTGTAAGAAGAGCAAATGAACATCCATATGCCCTTCACCTAGATTCCCAGTTGTTGAAATTTGCCCAATTTGCTTAACCATTGTTTATATATTTACCGTTTTAACGGAGTACATTGCAGATGTTAAGACAGTTCACCCCAAATCTTTTAGCTTGTCTCCTAAGAGCAAGGATTGTCTACACAGCCACATCCGTGATCAGACAAGAACCCAGATCTTTGATAATTTCACTGAGCCCCTGAATTAACTCACCGTGGAAACCTCCTAGCTCCAGACTTCTTGTTATGTGAATGGTTCCCTTCACTTTAAAGCAATTTCCACTGTTTTGTAATCAAAAACTCTCCTGCCTGGCTGGGCGTGGCTCAGCGGTTGAGCGTCAACCTGGGATCCAGGCGATCGGGGTTCGATTCCCGGTCAGGGCACATGCCTGGGTTGTGGGCTCGATCAATGCCTCTCTCATCATTGATGTTTCTCTCTCTCTCCCTCTCCTTCCCTCTCTCTGAAATCAATAAAGATATATTTAAAAAACAAAAACAAAAACTCTCCTGATACACAGGCCCCAGGCACATCATAGAAAACATTTAAAATCATCCACATCCCATATTATATATATGTGGGATTTTTTTGCTACACATTTTTCAAAGTATTTTTATACTTTCGTTTGAGACATTATTTGGCTATAAGGATCTAATTTGGGAGGGACCAACCTCTAGGAAGACTTCGGCTCACTTTTGAAGTAAGAAAATTCAACCTACAAAATTGTTTTCAAATGTAATGAAAGTTTTACAACTACCATCTTTTAAGTTTGAGCACAGTAAACATTTATTAATTCCAGCTTTACAGTTTTAGGATTTGGGAGCCAATAGTTTTTGTTTTTTTTTCCTTCAGGTTTCAAATATTTAAGCTCTTAAAAAGCTCTTAGCTCCCCAGAGTCTATAATTATGACAAAAGAAAATATTTAAAACAAAACAAAACTGAAAAAGCCCCATGCCTGAGCCCTGGAGGGCTAATGAATGGCAGGGCCTGGGCCCCAGCCAGACCTCGTATGAGAAGAGGGGCAGGTCACCAAAAGCCCGTCGAGGCCTGTGACCAGAGTGGGGGACAGACCTTGGCTGTGTTCGGGGAGGTGGCTGGGTGGGAGGGACAGCATCAGCACGAGCAAAGGCAAGGAGGAGAGAATGGATGAGCAAGGTAAGTGGGGGGAGAGGGGCAGGCTCCTGCACAAACCAGTTGGAAAAGTGCCTGAAGTGGGGGCAGGGTCGGCATTCCCCACCCCCACACTAGTCCTTTCTATCCTTCATGGAGTAGGGCCCAAAGAAGATCATTGCTTGAGGTTCAGAAATGCCAGGTCCACAGTGTTCTTTCCTTGGCTCAGCAGATAAAAAGCTTCAGCCCCAGCTTCCTGTGTGACCTTGGTCAAGTGGCCACCATCGCTGGGGGGTTGCTATATAATCAAATAAGGAAGCGGTATCTGGGGTCCCTCCCTGCTCTGACATCTAGGACTCCTGGCTCTGATCACCTTCCCCACCTGGGCCAACCAGGTTGGCAGGGGTTTTCAGTGGGCCCACCAGCAGCCCTCTCCACAACTGCCGGCTGGAGGAGACGCAGCCTTCACGGGGGCAGGGCAGGCTGGGAAGGGCTGCACTGTTCTGGATCTCCTGCCCGAGGAAGCCTAGCTCATCTCTTAGGCAGTGGCCAAGGTCCAGCCTGCAGGAGAGAGGAATTCCAGAGAGCCCACCACCCCCAGTGCCGAATGGTGAAGGGGGAGGAGAGTCCCTGGGGGAGGGGGCCTTGGCCTGGGGAGGCGCAGATGAGAGAACTAATGCTGAGTCCCTCACGCATCACTCCTGTAATCCTCCAACCAGCTGGTGACTGGGTGACATTCCCACTTTCCAGGCCTGGAAGCAGGTTCAGGGAGGTCAAGGATTTGGCTACAATCACAGCCAGGTAGCCCCCAAACCAGGACTTGCCTTTCGTCTCCAGATTCCAACCTCGAATTCATTTCAGGGCCCAGAGCCACTTTCCTCTGCAGTTCAGCCCCGTTGGCAGACAAGAAAGGGTGAGGTGAAGACGAAATGAGATAATGTATGAAAGGAGGCGCCGGGCACAAGGCCTGGCAGATAAGTGGGCGCCACTGCACAATGCCACCTGTCCCTACTCCTCCCCCCAGGAAAACCATAGCCCCAGTTATAGGGTACACGGGAATCTGGAGAGCCTAGGCCGGAGGGGACTGATGAGGTGGAGGTGGAGGGACCTCCCAGGGGTATTGACATTAGAAGGTAAGCAGCCTGGGCAGGGACACTAAGACATTATGAGACTATGAAAAACACGCATGTGTGCCCACACTGGCACACACACACACAGAAAATCTATTCCGACCAGAACTACTCCCTGTACTAACCTTGTACAGAAGAACAGGGTTTCACCTCCCCAGTGTACAGACGGGGAGACTGAGGCAAGCAGGGAGAAGGGGCTCACCAGGATGCCTTGGGGAGGGCATGGCAGGACCAGGACCAACACCCAAGTCTCCAGACTCCCAAAGGGGCTTTCCGGGGGCCTATTCACCATACCACACGGCCTCTGCCAGCCCTCGGCTGGCCAGATGCTGAAGGGGAGTAAAGCAGCCCCTCATCCAATGGCAAACGCTCTTGGTGATGGGCACAGCTTCCAGGTTGGGGGAAGAACAGAGAAGCAGTTCTCAGGACCCTGAGAGCCTAACTCAGGGCTGGCAGCCTGCCAGGCCCACCTGATGGCAGTTGGTCAAGGACTGTGGCTGAAGCACCTCTCTTCTGGTCTGGGACTCCTCCTGAAAAGCCCTGACTCCTTGATCAGGCAGAAAGGGTGCCTGTGGCCCTTGGAGAGGAAGCATAGAGGAAAGGCAGTTGAGCTGGGCCCCAACCCCTCCCTAGGCTGAGGTTTGGGGAAGGCCCTGGAGGAAAAAGTGAGGCTGCTGTGGCTGATTTCTGAGGCAGCAGTCTTGGGGGGGGGGTCTCACTGTGGTTGTGGCCTGCCTTGCAATCCCAAGTACTCCCCCGGCATCCTGTGGACTTGAGTCATCTGGAGGAAGGTGGTCTGTGGGGTGCGGGACAGTGGAGGCTGGACGGGAGAGGTAATGGAGGGCAGGGCAGATTTGCTAGCTTGACCTCCAGATGTGAGTCACCCCTGGTCCACATCTTCTCTCCTTTTTGGTGCTGCCAATTTCAGAAGGACAGTGATGTGGAGATGAAAGTCCCGTTGACAACTTCTGTAGTAAGCTTCCCACCTTGCCCAGTGCTCCCCACACCCCTCCCTCTACCTGAGTGTGAGATGAGCACCCCTCCAACTCACTCCCAATTCTGTTGCTACAGTGATCTTCCCTGCAGCCCAAGTCTGGCCTCAATGTTCACCTTCCCTATAACCTTCTATGGCTCCCCAGCACCCTAGACAGAACAACAGCCTTTCATGATCCAAGTATTGTTGGCCACCCAGCCTCATGCTCCATATTTCCCCAACATATCCTAAACTCCAGCCATGTTCAGATGCTCACGGTTCCCTAAATCTGTGCTTTTTCATTTTGGAGCCTCTGCCCAGGCTGGAATGCCAGCCCTCCTTCACCCATCCTTCAAGACCCACCTTCACATTCTGGACAGTCTCCATCCCACCAAGGTGCTTGCTCCTGACCTCCCTTAGAGCTGACATCATGCTACTCCTTCCTTAGGTTCATGGCCAGGTTCCACCCTAACAGTGGGCTCCTTGAGAGCAGGGACTGGGAAGATTCATCTTTGAATCCTTCCAGATAGCTCAGGGCCAGGTACATTAATTGGTGTACAGTAAAATATTTGCTAAACAGATGTGGAAAGATAAGACTGTGCCTGGCCTCAGGGGAAGAGCTGTGAGGAGAGTGGACAGGGGTGCAAAAAGCAGGGACCTTAACCCCTCATGGCCTGGCTCAGCTGGGCCCGCTCCCAGGCCTGTCCCTCTCAGACCAGCCAGAGGCTGTCAAGCAGGGGCTCTTGGAGGATCCCCAGCAGGCCCCTCAGCAGGGCTGAGGCCTGAGCCCTGAACCCTGGCAGCTGCCTCAGACCTGGCACCGGGCCCAGCCTTTCTTTAGCTTTAGTGACAAGCACGCGCAGCGGCAGCCACAATCCCTGCTTCCGGAGGAGGCCCGGGCGGGGCCAGGGCCTTGCGGTTGATGGGTTCTGGGCCCTCTGCATAGGCCCACAGAGGGGGTCACGCCCTGGCCCTGCCAGCGTGCAGCCTCAGGAACCCCGGCTCTAATTCCTTGAAGGACTCTGCACCCCCTCAGCGGTCTTTCCTGGGGAGCCCCTGAGCTCAGCCTGCTGGCCCTCAGCCCCTTCCCGCCAACTCCTGGGCCTAGCTCATCCTCAAACTATTTTCCACTGGCTTCCCCCAATCCCTGCCACCGCACAACTTTTTTGGTGGGGGCTGGGGAGAGATGGGGGAGAATGAGAGGTGGAGCGCGGACCCTGGGGGAGTGGCTAAGGAGGGGGCCACCACTCTGATTGGTCCGCTCTGCTCCAGATCGGGCTTCAAAATTCCATTGACTCCGCCTCCAGGGGCCCTATTCCTGTCCTGACTTACAATTGGCTGAGCTTCCCGGGGGCGGGGGGTCCGGTCCCCTTAAAAGGGTGGGAGCGGCCCGGGGGGACAGTCCCTCCCGCGGAGCCTCTGACAGCTGGTGCGCAGTCTGCAGGACCGTCCTCCCGTCCTCCCGTCCTCGGTCATGGCTTGTGTGAGTGCAGGGGCCCCGCGCCGAGGCTCAGGATGGCGTGGGGCAGGCCGCTGGGGAGAGTCGGGCAGATGCGGGCGTGGGTTCTAGTCCCGACAGTGCGGCTTTGAGCAAGTACCGTCTTTTTTTCCTGGGCCTTAGTGGCCGCATCTCCAAGATAGGGGTGGGCACCATGGTCCCCCAAGGCTTTCTCTGGCTTAAGAATTTTCTGGATTCCTCCAGGGTCGGCCAGCGCAGTTATTTCTCCCAAGGTCTGCCTTTCTGCAGCTCTCTGAGAAATTGGAGTGGACAGGGTGTGGCCAGCTGGGGCCGGGGAGGCTCTTTGATGACACTGCCCTTCCCCACCTCCACCCCAAAGAGACTCCTGTCCCCTCCCTCCCTGCTGCAGCTGTCCTCAGTCGCCCGGCCAGGGCAGTCACCCTCTGCGCTAGGGAGCCCTGACGAGTTGCCAGGATCAGAGGCAGGCTGCCTGGGAAGGGGGCCTGCCCGAGTGAGTGGGTGGAAGGGCTCAGTGCAGGCCGGTCCGGTGGGGGTGGGGGAGAGGAGGCGGGAATCTTCCTCAGGCCCTGAGGGAAAAGTTTTTGGCCGAAGGAACCACTCACCAGCAGTTAAACTGTGTGCTCAACCTCGTTAACCCCCAGCCAGCCAGGCTGCAGGCTCGGCCGAGGCCGCGCTCCCTGCTGCAGAGGGGCCTGGCCCTGCTCCTCGGGGCCTCCTCTCCGCAGAGCCGCTTGAAGGGGAGCC